TTCTTTTCTTTTTGAAAAGCAAAAGAAGTAATGAATAATGCTTACCTGCAGAGTTGCTGTGCAGTGTTGTCTGTATTGTATGCAGTTGACATTCCACATCGAGTCTCATTTGGGAGTTCAAGCAGATCTGAAACTCCCTGTGTAGCCCAGGCTGGAACTGAACTGCAAGATCTTCCTGCCTTACCCTCCCAAAGTGCTGAGATTGCAAATGTGTACCACCACGGCCAGTATAAACAATCTTACTTTACATACCAATCCCAGTTCCTTCTACATCCACTCTTCAGAGGAGGGACCTCCCATGGGGAGTCCACAAAGCATGTCACGGCACTTGAGGCAGGACCAAGGCCTCCTCCTCTGTATCTAGGCTGAGCAATGTAACCCTCCGTGAATTGAAGTGTTTTTTTTTTTTTTTTGTTTTTTTTTGTTTTTTTTTTTTTCGAGACAGGGTTTCGCTGTGGCTTTGGAGCCTTTCCTGGAACTAGCTCTGTAGACCAGGCTGGTCTCGAACTCACAGAGATCCGCCTGCCTCTGCCTCCCGAGTGCTGGGATTAAAGGCGTGCGCCACCATCCCCCGGCTGTTTTTTTTTTTTAAGTCAACACAAAATTCACCATTTTAATTATTGTTTAGTAGATTTCTTTTCCTGTGTAAGAGTTTTGCCTGCTGTATGCATGTGCACCATGTGCCTGCAGTAGCCTGCAGAGGCCAGAAGAGGGCATCAGATCCCTTTGAACTGGAGTCACAGACAGTTGTGAGCTGCCACATGGGTGCTTGGAGCCCAACCTGGGTCCTCTAGAAGAGCAGCCAGTGCTCTTGGCCAGAGTCATCTCTCCAGCTCCTTTAAAATCCTTTTAAAGTATGTAAAATTCTCTATATAGTTCTTAAGCATTTTCATAATCTCCCAATCCCCCAAATCATTCCTATTGGCCAGTATCCCCCAATGTATTGTTTCTGAATTTTCCTATTCTGAATAATAATAATTATTATTACAATAATAGTAACAGGATTATAAAATATATGGCATTTGTGTCTGAGTCTTTCGCTTAGTTTAATATTTTTAAGACTCATCCATATATACATCAACTAGTATGTCATTTCTTTTTATGGGAAATAGTAGTACTCTTTTGTAGGGGTATGCCATGCAAAATGCATAAAACTTGATCCCTCCATAAGTTGATTGACAGTTGTGTTGTTTTAGCTTTTTGGCTATTATAAATATTGTTTCTATGAATACTGATGTACAAGTTTCTAGTTAGACCTGCTTTTCTTCTCTTGAGAATGCATCTAGAAGTGCAGTTGCTGGGTCATACGGTGATTCTGTGTTTAACTCTTCTAGCAACTGCTAAACTGTTTCGAAAGCTGCTGTCTCCTTTGGCAGTCTCACTGGTTTCTCCATATCATCCCTAACACTTGCTAACCCCCCACCTCTTTTTCTGTTTGTAGACATTCTCAGTATACAATGGAATATCACAATTTTGATTCACAGTCACCCAGTGACTTTGGTGCTGAGTATCCATTCATGCGTTACTGGCAGAGCCTGCATTTATTATCATTATTATTATTGTTGTTGTATTAAAAAATTTTTTTGGTGAGTCTCTATCGTGTGGTCTCTATCATATGGGGTTACTTAGGTACCAGAGAAGCTTCTAAGCAGGCAATTGGAGCATAGTAGGATAATAGAGTATAGTAAACACAGCATAGACGTGTGGAATGAGACCTCAGAGAAGGAAGGAAGGAAGAGATGAATGCAAACTGAACAGAGTTTGAGAAACACCCAAGGAGAGGGAGGGCATGAAAGACCGTGGAGCCTGTGTGTGTCTTAGGGTGGGGCCTCCAGTCATTGCTGTCATCAAGTGAAGAGCACTCCTGTCTGTCACCCATCCCCAGCCAGGCAGTTAGGCAGGTCTCCAGCCCACAGGCAAGCCAGCCTCAGGCCGCAACAGCATAGGGCTCTGTGGTTTCAAGTTGTTCTCATCCAGCTGATTTGGTGTCCACCTGTGGTGAATTTTATAGCCTCATTAGAATAACAACAACAAAAGTGACCAATAATGAGGAATTATTCACTTCAATTCACAGATGAGGAAATAGGCTCAGAGAAGAAAAACAACTTATTTAAACTTGTTGAATTATCTTCTCATGGGCTTTTATCTCATATCCCCATCTGATTGCTTATACATCTGTTGCAAGGACCAGCTTCAATTTTGCAGAGTGTAATTCTCAAAGATATTAGCTGACTTATGGGAGAGAAACTTCTGGGCCTGAATTATACCAAAGGTATACCAAAGGTTTCGTCCTATATGTTCATGCTATAACACTAACCTTTGGGACCTTGTGTAATAGTGAGCTCGCCAGGATGTAGACTAAGTCTCTTTTGTTCCTCTTTTGTCTGTCTGCACACTGCAGGGATGCATAGCCTTTCCTGAAGTAACCTAATTTCTTTCATTATGCTTTGAAAGGGTTGAATGAGAGGATCTGATAACCATTGCTCATCCAGTACCCAGATTTGTAAGCCTGAATGCCGCCCCCTTCTGCACTAACTCAACAGTTAGTGCATCGCATCAGTCTGAACCGCTGTTTCAGCTCTGGAATGCAAAGCATAGCTTGCTACTTCCCATTTGGTGGCATCTCACACTTTACACTTGTCACACCGAAGACTGGATCAGAAAGAAGTCCCGTAGCACCCTCCTGTCTTGGCCTCTCTCTCTCTCTCTCTCTCTCTCTCTCTCTCTCTCTCTGTCTCCCTCTTTCCCTCCCACCCCTCCACTACTCCTCTCCCTCTCCTCTTCTCCCCTCCCTTTCTTCCTCCCCTCTCCCCTGTGTGGATATGTGCACAAACACCCAAGATAATTTCATCTGAAGCACTCTCTTGAGCTTTTACATTTCAGCAGGCATGTTGCCTTAGAAAGATTCAGCATTGATTTGTAAAGGGAAGATATTGTTCTTTTAGAAATGCCCAGGTACCCTCTACTGTTCATGCCTAACCCGCTGGATGGGTTTTATAGACACAAAGAGAACAAGAACAGGTCATTCTTGTGAAAGCAGAACCACGGATGAGTCCTCTACCCTAGCGGGAAGGGCCTTTCCGAGCAGGCGCTATTAACGTCTTTTTTCCTGGGCTTTTCCTTTGTGCTTCATATGCTGCCTGCCATTTCTTTTTTTCCTTAAATTTAATATTTATCCACTTTCTGCTTATGGAAATAAAGTGATTCAGGCACACTGGTAATAGGAAGCATAATATCCTGCTCCCGGAGTGCCCAGCGTGCCAGGCACAGTTTGAAGAGTATTCTGAACCACTGTCATAGAGGCCTGAGCTCAGCTAGCCTGGGTCTTTGCTCATCTCTTCCCCCTGTTTTGGAGAAACTGAGGCTCACTCAGAACTTTTTTGATGCAGGGGTCCCACCTCTGAGCAGCTGAAGCTGGATTTGAGAAGACTGCATTTAACTGCATTTTGGAATGCTTACTGGTTTGTAAGCATTTTTCTCCGTTTTACTAGCAAGTTTTGAGGAGAAAAGCCTGACCTGGCATGACAGCTTGTTTAACACTTGCACATATGCACATGTGCATGCACACACACACACACACACACACACACACACCCAAGGAGATTGCATAGAGCCAGCTCTCTGCCACATGCCACATGGGCAGCATACTAGAGAATGAATTTAAGTGGGAATCTTTGGGGAGTGTAAGAAACAGGAATTTCCATGGTCTCAATCCCATCCCAGAAAACAAACTATTTTACTACTATGGACCATTTTCAGAGTAGGCTCACATTTCTACCTCTACAACTTTCCTGTTTGAACTTCTAGCTTCCGCTGTGGCAGACAGATTAGTAAAGACAACTTTGAATCCTGCACGGGGAATAAAAGCAATACTCTGTTATTCTATGAGATTAGGTAAAACAGCGAGGAAACGAGGAGCAATAACATGTTTTTGTGAACTCTTCAGGACATGTTATGAGTACACAGAAACACAGGACAAGACACCAGAGCCATTTCTCACTCCTGGCTCTCCTCACACTCGTACTTTGGACCAGGCTCTGAAGTGAGAGTTGGAGCAGTCACTCACCAGGGCCCATTAGACTCTGCCTTCTTACATTTGTGCTGTTGGGGAGGAGACATACCTTCCTCAGCCTGTCTACGCCCTTACAGTGTAGGTGTCACCTTAAGAAGGGCTGCCACTCCTCTTTTGCCTCTTGATTACCAAGCCACAGAAACCAAGTTTTCTTGAGGAGATACTTCAGCTACACCAAGTGCGTCTCGAGTATCAAGAGATTCACATGTCAGTTAAGTTCAGACCAGGAATCTTAGTTGCTTTTCTATTGCTGTGACAAAAATACCATGACCAAGACAATTTATAAAGTGAACTGAGAATGCTACAGGCTTTTAAAACCTCAGATCCCACGCCAGCTATACACCTTTCCCAGCCAGTCGTCACACCTCCTAATCCTTCCTAAATAATTCTACCAACGGGAGACTGAGTACAGAAGCATGAGCCCATGGGGGCCATTCTTGTTCAAACCGCCACACCTGATGACAGTCCAGGGGCTGTTCCAGCTCCAGGATTCTTGAATTCCATTCTAGCCGGGCTATGGTGGCCCAGCACTCGGGAGGCAGAGGCAGGTGGATCTCTGTGAGTTCGAGACCAGCCTGGTCTACAGAGCTAGTTCCAGGAGAGGCTCCAAAGCCACAGAGAAACCCTGTCTCGAAAAAAAACAAAAACAAAAAAAAAAAAAAAAGGCAACCTTTTAGATGGATATGCCGAAACCCCTAGGCAGCCTCACTTGGGTGCTGTTTTTAGTACTTTGTATGTTGTTGACTGTGTACCCTAGATGCTGTATGTTGCCTTCAGAAGCTCCCTGTGCAGGTTACAGTAGGCCTGGGGTGTATCCACTTTTCCTTTTTAGCTGGTTTGGTCTCATTTATTTTCTAGAATTTGAAGTTTTGTACTTTTTGAGCATTTTGACTCATAATCAACCTTGTTCTCTTGGTATGCATTGTAGAAGACAAATCTGATCTTGAGAACAGTGTGATGCAGAAGAAAATAAAAATCCCCAAACTTTCTCTCAGTCACCTGGAAGACGATGGGGAGGTTAAAGACTACGGGGAAGAAGACTTACAGCTTAGACACATCAAGGTAACAAAATCTTTGCTTTTCTTGAATGTTCATGGGAGTGATGTCATACTTCTCAGAGCCAGAGAGTTCCACTCTGGCCTCCTTCCCCATATAACTGTACCCTGGCCATGGGCATTCTTTTGTTTGGGCTTTTTTGGGGGTGCGGATGGAGGATGCTTGAGACAGCAATTGCATTTCCCCAAGGCCTACTACTCCAAGAGTTCTTATTTAGACTGTCCCACGGGCACAGTCCTGGGTCAGTGTGTGCAGTGTCATGACTGCTGCAGAGGTAGGACAGCATGCTTTTCCCTGGCACACAACGCTGGAGAGGTCGTTGCTGACTCGCATGGACACTAAGCGGCTGCTGGTCTGGGGTAGCAGTTTAGAGCGAGTCACTGTCCCATTCTTCCAAACTTCCGAGGGTGGACTTGCTGCAGAAAGATATTGGTAAAATTCACAGAGGGCACTTTCGGGATCCTGGGTTGGATGAAAAACTTTTCATGAGGTTGCGTTTCCTTGTTTATGTGTCCCAGCTGGTCTCTTACTGTACGAAAACAAACAAACAAACAAAAACTCTGCTGGAAATCTTGTTGAGAGATCTAGTTCTCTGCCTCCTTACCCTGTTCTGTGAGTATCCCAGAGAAAGGAAGAGGGAGGAAAAGAAAGGTAACTTCTGCTTTGTGATCTCCTTTGGGACACAAGGTATCCCCAGAGTGTGGTCCAAAAGATGCAGCCAGTCCACTGCATGACATCCATTCCCCCCTGCTGTGGCTCTGGCCCAGTGCTGGCCCCTGGGGTCATCAAGTGTAACCATGTGGTCCCTGTACCTCGGGTTCTCACAGTACCATGATGCAGACAGATGTTTAAGGTAATCATTATAATTTTAGCAGGTACATTCATCTATTCATTATCTCAGCAAATAAAATCCAGGACATTGCGATGTTACTTAAGTCGTGAGTTTACCTCATTTTCATTACCTTTAATTTCCTGAAACTGGAAAGCTGAGTCAGGTCTGGCCTGTCATGGCTAAGATGTGCAGAGTCTTGTGTACTCTGTTTGTCTGTACCCCTGGGAGAGCTCATGACCCTTCAACCCCAGGTGAAGACTCAGCAACCATTCTGCTCTCCTGCCGCCCTCAGTGGGAGCTCTGTCCACTTGAGCTGAACTTGCCTCGGCCCCTTGGTGGTGGTGGACCATTCTCTTATGAATGAGTCTTCCTTGCCCTGTGCCATCCTGCTGAGGGAGAGCCTGGCAGCTGTGAGAGACAGACTCCGTGCAGGGAGTTGGGCTCCTGATTCTTCTTCTGACTCTGTAGCATGGAACTCCCATGCCACCCTGGGGATGATTTTTCCCCTCTCAGGAGCTTGATTTGCTTACCTGCCACATGAAGAAAACTGAAAGCACCCCAATGTTAACGTTCTTTGAAGTTTTCAGTTGAGTAAACATTTGTTAGGCTCCTGCCAACTGCCAGTCCTGAGTGAGTAGGCAGTACAGAACCAGAGAAAACACGACATATGGACTGCCCTAGATTCGAGTGGGTTTGGGTTTTGACGTTCTTCCAAACTGAAACAGTCTTAAAAAGGTTACAAGATAGAACTACTTACATATGTATGTTCTTGAGTAGGATTTCTCTGGACTGACTCGGGCAGGCCAGATTGGCTCCGGATCCTTTGGAAATCCACACCAGACACACCCATCAAGTGACTGCCCAGGCACCATGGAGGCTAGGGAGGGCTGGGAAGTTTAGAAGACTCTTCCAGATATGTGTGTCCAGGAGGCCAAGTGCTGGGAGGGAAATGGTGAAGTCTTAGCACGAGAAGAGTGACCTGGTTCTGCCACCCCCTGTTTGTTTGACATTTGGCAAGAGCGCTCCGAGCCTCTCTTTCCCCATTTGCAAAATGAGTATGTCTGTAACAGGTTTCTCAACACACTGATGTTCTGTGGTTCTGTGATTCTAGGATTGTCTGGGGAAATATTGAGCTGCAGTCCAAGAAAGTCCCAGCTGCCCTTGCCTGAACTGATTCTCGTTGTCCTACACAGAGACCGGAGGGGCGGAAGCCTAGTGAAGCGGCCCACAAGAGTATCGAGGCAGTGGTGGCCCGGCTAGAGAAACAGAACGGCCTGAGCCTGGGTCACAACACTTGTCCGGAAGAGGTCTTTGTGGAGGCCTCACCGGGCACAGAGGACATGGACAGCCTGGAGGATGCTGTTGTGCCCCGGGCTCTGTATGAGGAGCTGCTGCGAAACTACCAGCAGCAGCAGGAGGAGATGCGCCACCTCCAGCAGGAGCTGGAGCGGACTCGGAGGCAGCTCATGCAGCAGGCCAAGAAGCTCAAGGAGTACGGGGCCCTGGTGTCTGAAATGAAGGAACTCCGAGACCTCAACAGGAGACTCCAAGATGTGTTACTCCTGCGGCTTGGCAGCGGTGAGTGCCCAGGCAGGCCACTTACCACTCTTCACAGTGGGAGGGGCCTACTTCCTGCTCAGAGAACAAGAGTAGACGGAATGCTTGCTACTGCCCATCCAGCAAGAGGGTAGCACAGAGACTTGGGGTAACCCTCCAAATAGACTTCAGGACAGTAGAGAAAACTGGATGATAGCTGAAATACATACTGTTACTGTGAGCCAGAGAGTGACAAAGGGGGAATCCTGCTAACATGACCCAAATGCTGAGAGCCTGAACAGGCCCTGTGTAAGGGGAGAGACTCGAGGAAGTGCATGGGTCTTGAAAGGTGGGTGCTGAATCCAGGCACCTGAGCGTTCCAAGGATAGCACTCATGAGTTTGGCAAACACACGGGCACGTTAGGAAGGCTGCTGCAGACGTGCGGGGCGGAAGGCAAGGACGCTAAAAACCACCAACTTGGGTAGTAGCAGGGCTTATTTCAGTAGGAATGGGAGGCATTAAATCGATTCTGAGGCCTAAGGGATGTGGCTCAGCAGCAGAGCGCTGGGATGGTATGCACAGAGCCCAGAGTTCACCCCACTACAAAGCAAAACAAACAAGAAAGCTGTGCGCATTGGAGGTACGGAGGGATTAGTGTAAAGATACACAAAATTCCTCTGGTTTGCTCAGAGGAGAGCCACCCTGGCCTTTAGGTTTTTTTCATCTGAAGTGGTGTGGAGGCTGGGATGAATGGATTCTAAAAGGCAAGAGACTGAGAAGAAGACAGAAAACTCCTGCAGAGTATAGGAACTAGCAGTGGGAGAGGTGGGGCCGGTCAGCCCCCATGGCCTCTGCGTCAGAGTGCTTTCCTCTAAACGGGAGTAAACTAGGTCAGAGACAGTATCTGCAGCCTCCAAATGTGCCCCTGAAGAAGGCAGGTCTTCATTATCTAGAGAGACGGAGCACACTGATGTGCAGGGGCCGCTCTGTAATTGGTGTGGACAGGCCTACTCTCATGCTGGCCCTTTTCCATTTGCAGGTGGCTTGTGCTTCTTAAGTGTGCCTTCACGGTAATGTCTCAGTAGATCAGCCGGGGCCTTTTCCTGACCTTGACACGGAGGCGCACACTGGGTGGGGGTTACCAGAAACAAACCTCCCACCCACACCGCCTCACCATAGTTAATGGACTGGAAGCTCTGCCTTCACCTTGACTTTTTCTGCAGCTCACGGGTTCACCGTGGCAGTAAAGATTACAGTTACTTTCAGGTCCTCCGCAAGTATTCATTACGGTAAAATCTCAGTGGGCCGTCGTAGCTGTGAGAATTTAAGAAAGCAGTGTTGGTGCAATAGTGCAGGTGGACTCTGGGGCCACAATTCCATTTTCAGGGGCACATGTGTTTCCCGACCTTCAGGTGGATGGCTTTTACTCTGATTGTGCTGGGCCTTTTGCGAGCTTCTTCAGAAGCATGGGGAAACACACCAAACAGCAAACTCTTTTCACATCATTAGCTCAGCCCCTGGAGAAAGTTACCTGTTTTGCATGGTCCTGAACTGGGTTTGGACTCCAGAAACCGCCCTGTCCTTGGGCAGTAAGAAACCACGGCTTGTGTAGGCAGGTGCCTCGGTTCATCCTAAGACACTTGGCAGTCAAGCCTAACCCTGCTGCTTTGCCAGGATTGCTCGTTTTGCGGGACTTGTGTGTCATCATGGTGGCCAGTGGCCGTCTCTTCTCTGATGTGCCACTGTTCCTGTCGCCATGAGACGGACTCCAGCAGCAAGTATAGACATAGCTTCCACCGCGGCCACATGCAGAGCCCTGTGCTCTCAGGACAACAGACTTCCTGGAAATAACACACATTCCTCCATCTAGGAACACGTAAACTGCATTTATTAACATGTGTTAATTGACGCTAAGACAAATCTATATGGTCTTTAATAATCAAAGGGTCTCTGCCTGAAAGGTTGTATTATTTTATGGGCACTTACAGGCCTGGGTTCGAATTCTGACTTTCCTACGTTCTAACTCTGTCTTTGAAAAATTCTGTCCTTTCCTTCTTTCTTTTCCTTTCTTTCTAACCTCTTTCCTCCTTTCCTGGTTCCCTTCACCAATACTTACTGGTCTTCTCCTATGTCAGGCATTGTGCCTAGTGGTGAGTAGCAATCTCATGTATTTGGAATATACACTCACATACACACACACATGCAACACTTACACATATAAAACACAGAGACACGCACACACATGCATGCATCTGTGTACGTCTTGCTTTCTACTCTTGAAGATCTCATGCAGAGAGGGCTGTGGACAGCAGAGATAAGACACTCAATTTTTGGAAGACTGATAAACCAGCCTGAAGGGGAAAAAGAATAGGCTTGAAAAGTGAGTTTCTATGCAGGCAGGTGTAATTGGGTAGGAAGAGTAAGGTGCAATCTAGTCAGCCAGCAACTCTATGAACCTCAATATTACACCCCTTAAAATGGGTTCTTGTCAGCACCCCTCACAGCTTTGGGGCGCACAGTACAGTGTCTGGTACTCTGTCGATGCTCAGGTACTCCTAGTTACTCTTCTTCTACATCACTTGGAAGAGAAGCCAAGATAGGGTCTGTTTGGGGTTTTAAAGCTGGCTCTGCCAGTCAGTAATTGGGCCTGTGACTTTAGGCAGGTTAGCCAATGTCTCTGCTTCTCATTATCTTTGACAGCAGAAGATAGTATGAGTTACAGTTGTCTGCTTATTTCTTCATTCGATTATTCAGTAACACCATCAGATACTTTCCAAGCCTACGGACATGGGAGATACAAAGAAGGCAAAAACATTACAAGGTGGGCAGAGGGTGGGGTTAGAGGTAAATGTGTAAACCTCTAACTAAAATGCAGAGTATCCAGTTGTGGGGGAGGATGCCACATTTTGAGACATCCTCCCTGCTCCCCCGATCCTGAGAAAATAGTTATTCTATAAATGCTACCCAGAACCAGCGCAGAGGAGAAGGGCGAGAAAGTGACAGACCCTGGCGGGGCCTCAGGTCTGCACACCTTCTGAGGCCTGGCTTGGTGTCAGGCCTGGGTTTTGTCTTGCTCTTGGAGATCTTGCCTTCTTCCCCTAGGCTCCCAGCTTGAGGTCCTTTGTCCACTTTGGGTGCTGGATCATTTACACCCTGACAGGTAATTCAGAAACCAGATTGGCCGATAGGTCAGGACCTGGGAGGATTACTGGTAATGTGGGGCGGGGGGGGGGGGGGGGGGGGGGGGGGGGGGGGGGGCTGGGAAGCAGAAACCTGACAGCTTCAGGCATGGGGCTCAGATTCCTTGACAGCCAGGAGTTGTAATGGAGGTGCACACACTGAAGGGGACAGGGGACAGCAGGATGGCAGGACTGCTCTCAGGCTTGGCTGAGTGACGAGTGGAATCCTGGGCTGGGTAAGAGGTGACTGAGGTGGGAGGTCGTCCTGCTTTACTAATTAAGAAGCAAGGTCACACTGGCCCTTCACTCCCCCCCCCCCCATGGCTTTCTTTAGCACTCTTCTTTGTCACCAACACGGGTGTGACTTGACCATCCCTCGTAAAGGACCTTCAGTAGCTTCTCTATGATCTTAGCCTGGAAAACAACCCTTTTTGACAGGGCATAACCTCACACCCTCCCCCCAGACGGCCATTTATTCCAGTACTTGTACAGAATTGAGTAAGGGAACACTGTTCGAGTCTGGCTGTGTGTCCAACGCAGCAGTCAGTGTTTAGTAAACGGCGGTCTGACTGTCTTGGCTTCCCTTTCTTTTCTGTCCCCTCAAGAATCAATGCTGAGGACTCTAAAAGCATATACTGATTTATGGGATTATACATTCATTTATTCTTTTGTCCTCGACAAATGTTTATTGAGATTGTACTTTGTGCCAGGATAGGAATGGATGTTAGAAACCTAGAGATGAAAGAGACCGTCATAAAAAGCACCTGCAAGCCTAGTGGGTTAGTGTTTTCAAACTGGGGCATGGTGGCCTCCTGGACGGCAGAGGAGATAAGGTGAAGCTGAGAAGGGGGGAATGGATGCAGGGGGCAAAGAGCACCAGTGGGAGAGTGGAGAGGGTTTCAGCTGCTCCTCGGCCAGTAATTGCAGGCGGAGGCGGGTAATGATTGTAGATTTTGTGTCTGTTTTGTCAAGGAAGGTAGGCCCAGATGATGAGTTCTGACCAGCTGAGGGAGAACTAATAAGAATAATAGCGGTAATTTGCATGCGTGTGGCACTTCACAGGTGTCAAAGCACCTCGACATTTTTATCTCCCTGGACTCTTCCAATAGCCTTATTGCAGGCCAGGTAAGGATTATTATCTCCATTTGAAAGAAGAGCATGTGAGAAGAAGAGCTAATGCCCCTGTTGGCTAGATCACAGGCGGGCTGAAATGTTTAAAGAAGAGAGCCGTGGCGGCTGGCCTGCATATCTGTCTTGGCTCCTCAGAGCCAGATTGCTAACACGTCTGTAACCGTCTGAGTTTATACCTTGTGTTCTGTCCAAGGTCTGTTAAAATACCAACTTTGATCTTTGAAATCCTTTGTGGTCTGCACAGGCTTCTTTACGCCCAGGTCTCTGATGGCGCCCTAGAAAAGACAGTTAATGTCAGCCGGATGCTTCCTGCTGATTCCCCTGGACTGGAGGCAGCCTGGCCTTTGACAACAGATATTACCTGGGTTTGAATCTCACTTGCTGTAATTCCTTACCTGTGAAGTAGATGATTTAACCCTTCCAAGTCTGTTTTGTCCTCTGTGAAATGGGAATCTTTAAAAAGCAGATGATTTAACCCTTCTGAATCTGTTTTGTCCTCTGTGAAATGGGAACCTTTAAGCCTGTCTCATTCAGGCAGAGAACCCACTTAGTGATTTAAAGTCTGCAAGGGTCCTGGGGTCAGAAGTTGCAGCGTTTTGAGTCCTGGGTCTTCCAGAGTCTACCTGAGTTGCCTTGGACAAGTTTCTTCCTGGGCTTTACTTTACTCATCTCTAAAACAGAGTCAATGATCGCCCAAGCATCATGGCTGAAATGATAACAAAGCCACGGCA